AGATACAGTTCTGCTTCACGAGCGTTTTCCAGACAGAGGCATACCCTCCCAGCCAGGCTGGGCTCCTCTTCTTCCCCTGCCCTTGAGAAGTAATACTAGGCGCGCGCATGCGTTTATCAGAGATCACATGTTCGCAAGAATTCGTAGAAACACATTGGACAACGTTCACGCGCGCGTCGTCGCGCGCGTATGCCGAAGTCTTTCCGACCGTCTCAGGCTTGGTACGAATTTCATCATGTCAGGGCCAACTGCTTCGCAATATGGCTGATCAAAGCGCGCTTGCGCTTGATTGCGGGAACCATCGGTCTCCAACATGTTCATGCATCACGGCCAAGCGGCCCTCTCGCGCGCGCGCATGTCGAAATCATCCGAACGCCCTTGCGCGCTTGCCGAGGGGGGGGGGGCGACTCATGTTAAACGCGGGCCGCTCGCGCACGTTGGCCGCGCGTTCATGTCGAAATCTTTCAAACAATTATCGCCGACATTTGGGCGCCTTCATCGTCATCGGCGTGACCAGCATCAGCGCCGTCATTGGCCTTGCCGTCGTCATTATCATCAGCATCGTCACCTACATCAAGGTTGCGCAACATAGATTGATCCAGAGAAACCCACACAAATTGCACATCATAGATTGCACCTCGCAGACTGCGCCACATGAATTGCGCAACATAGATTGCATAACGTCGATTGCATACACTAGATTGCAACACATACGTTGCACCACATAGACGGCACACAGAAACACTGTTTAGCGGTCCACTTTGGCCAACGTGCTCAGGAACTACGTTCAAAAACGTCGATGGGACAGCACAGCGCAAGGGCGTTGCCTCCGAGAACCCCCCACGGCGCCGAAGACAACCCCAAACCATCAAGAACCTGGAGACCCTACCCCTGCCGTCAAAAAGTCAACGATGGCGGCGGCTGTTGCGACGGCCGCGGCGGCGACGTCGACGACACCGCGCGCGGCTCCAGCGCGCTCGTGCCCGCGGTGCAGCAGCCGCGCCCCGCCGCCCCCGTGGCGCACGTGGCCGCCGCGGCGTCCGCCGCGGTGCCCGCCTCGCAGGCGACCCGGCTCGGGGCGTCGTGGCAGGCAGAGAGTTTTTGGCGAGGGATCTCAGTCAAGCTGCCAGAGTATTGGTATTGGTATTAGAAGTTCCACTTATTATTAGCAGTAGTATTAATAATGTATTAATAATCATAATCAGAGCATCAATGATACATATCATTGCCATTACTACTACACTATAATCATTAGGCGGCTTGCCAAGGTCAGCCCGTCCCTTCCCCGTCGGCCCAGCCTCGGCAGCTTTCGCTGGCCGCGCCCCGCTCGCAGAGTATCGGGATGGCCTTCCAAAAGCATCCTCTTACAGCGATTGGAGTCCCATGCCAAGAAACGCCCTGCTTGCCTCTGGGTTGCCCTGGTTTTCTTGGGTTTCGATGGTTCTGCGATGGAAGGCGTAACGTTCCCACACCAAAAGTCAATGGGCGACCTGTGGTCTCAGGGTTGGGGATTTCTTGTGGAAGGTTTCTTTGTGGACGGGCCTTCGCTGTATCGTGCGGCGTCCTTGATGTGCGGGTCGGCTGTAAAGCAAACTTGCACATCCTGTATCCGAAGGGGCCCCTGAGGGGCCCAAGAGGGGCACGAGAGGTACTTTTCCCCCCAGCTTCCCTTGACCTTCCAGAGTGCTAAAGTCTCGACTGGAATTCGGGTATCGAGGTCCAGGTGCTACTTTTCGGCCCGCCTGCAAGGTCAGGGTCATCGCCCCACCCATCCAGCCGCGCCCCTCTGGCAGGCAGAGAGTCTGGGGCGCGGTGCTTGTCCAGAGGGCGTCCCTTCGGGGAAGGAACAACCACTACACGGGCACAGACTGCCGCGTTGGGCTCCGCGCGGGGTCCTCGGAGCGGCCCTGGGGCTCCGTGGCGACCTCGCGGGCGCCCCCGCGCGCCAGGGAGGGGGGGCCAGCGCGGATCGAGCCAGTCCGAGCGGACCTCCGAGAAGTTCTGCTTGTGCAGTTCTCGTCAGGGGGGCGTCCAGTCGGGCGCTTCGGCGGCCAAAACCGAACCCTACCCTCGCCGATCCCAGGTTCAGGCAACTCGATGGGCGGCGGGGGTAGGGTTCGGCATTCGTCGAACACGTGGCGAGATTCGAACCCCACCAACGCCTCCCATCGATTCAGGAGAATCGGTGGTTGGTGGGAGTAGGGTTCGGATGTCGCCACCTAGCGGGAATGACTGGGGCATCGGGAGCGTCTAGCAAGTATGGTTACCAGGTGGTGCGGATGTCTGACCATCATTTGCGAGCAACTCTCTTGGGTGCCACCTCCTGGACGCCCCCGAGGACAGGATGTTGGGACACCTCTTCTTGTGCGCGCACATCTTCTCCCGAGTGCGGCTCGTTCTGCCCCGAACCGAACGCGGTGTGCCCAACGTCGCTGCCGCCCAGAAGCGTCCTCCGCATCCTTCGGCCTCCTGGGGGCCTTCCTTTGGAGGAGGTCCCCCGGAGGGCAGCCGGCGACGCCTGGGCAGCAGCCCCCACCGCGCAGGCAGACCGGGCTCCTCCCCGGGCGCTCTCTGTTCTGTCCTCGCTGCCGCAATGCCTCTCCTCGTTTCCATTCACCTTTAAGTCGGGCCTGTCCCCCTACAGGGGGATTTTCGACGAAAAATAAAACAGACCCCCAAACCAGTAGTCAAACAATAGTCGAAAAATAGCCTGGGGGCTATTATCGGAGTTTTATTATTTTTATACATTTTTGGAGTATTCTTGGGGTACTTGTGATTTTTCGTCGGAAATCCCCCTCTAGGGGGACACGCCCGACATAACGCTACCCCCGCCTCCCTCCTCGGCCTTCTCCCGCTTCCCTTCTTCCCCCGCTTCCTCCCGCTCCGCCCTCCGTCCCCCTGCCTCTTTTCCCTCCGGCACAGGCCCCCCCCCCCACACTGCCCTCCGCCCTCCGCCCTCCTGCCTCTTCCCTCCGGCACAGTCCCCCCCCCCCACTGTTGTGTGTGTGTTGTGTATGTGTGCGTGTGTGTGTTGTGTGTGTGTGTTAGTTGTGTGTGTTGTGTGTGTGTATGTGTGTGTGTGCGTGCGTGCGTGCGTGCGTGCGTGCGTGCGTGCGTGCGTGCGTGTGTGTGTGTGTGTGTGTGTGTGTGTGTGCGTGCGTGCGTGCGTGCGTGCGTGCGTGCGTGCGTGCGTGCGTGCGTGTGTGTGTGTGTGTGTGCGACGGCGCCACCTCTTCTCGTCCACGGGTCTTTGCCGGCCTGCTTTCTCGACCCGGCGCGTCGTCGCTTCGTGGGCGCCGCTGCTCCTGCTTCCGGGATCCTCAGGACGCGTGCTGGCCCAAACGTGTGTTTGGACGAACGAACAACCCATCGGGAGGACGGAGGGGGCTGTGGGTGCGTGTTGTCGGATGGGGCTCCCCGCTCGAACGGGAGATTCCCCCGTGGTCCGAAACCCGCACCCATACCCATAGCAAGTCCTCCTTCCGCCGACCCCCCTGTGGGTATGGGTGTGTGTTGTCCGTTCGTCATGCTTGCCCCGTTCGGCTCCGCCGATAGCGAGCAGTCTGTGTCGACCCTCGCTGAACCGCCTGCATCGTGTTGCAGGGCCTCGGTGGACAAGCACACACGTTGGTGCTGACACGCGTTCTGAGGATCATCGGCTGCTTCTTCCGTCTTGCTACGCCGCCCCGCCCTCCTCCAGCCTCGCTCTGCTCTGTGCTCTCCCCTTATGTCTTCCCACTGCCGCGGTGTGTGTGTGTGTGTGTGTGCGCGAGTGTGCAGAGTTGAGCATCCAGCTCCGCTGCATCACATGTCCGCCTCCGCGCTTGGAGACGCAGCGTGACAACTTGGCGGCAAGCGAGGGGGGGGAGGTGAGAAGGAGGCCTTCTCATAAGGCGGCGGGACTTCCCAGGAGCCCTCGCGCCATTCAAGAGGTTTGTTTGTGTTTTCGGGGAAGGCTTAACTTAGAAACCTTCTCAGAAGGCCGTGTGACTTCCGAGCCTTCTAAGAAGGCCCGCCTTCACTTCCCCCTGGGCTCGCCGCCGAACAACGCGTTGCTTGGCATGGCTGCCGCGCCACGTTCTTGTTATGTCGGCTCATGCAGGCGCCTTGAGCGCTTCTCCGAGACCTCTTGCGTTCATCTGAATTGCACATCTTTCAGAGTTCAGTCGGAATCCTGGATGATCGGTTCATTTCGTGTTCGTTGTCTCCATGGTCGAAGCTTTCGTGGCCATGCGCAACCGCTTGAGATCTGCGGTGGCCTCTTGGAGATCTGTTGGGGGTGGGGTCTGGCCGAGCCAGGCATGGGCAATGGGCCTCTGCGGGCTTGTTGCGACCGCCAGTGCTGGTGGCAGCCAGGGCGGTGGGGCTAGACACAGACCGGTGGCGGCATCACATGGCCAGTGGTCTGGCAGGGGCTAGAAAACAGTGGCAATGGAGGTGAGAAGCATTGGCAGCAGCGTGGGGGTGAAAAGGTGCTCGTGCCGGGTAAGGGACGGCGAGCAGCCTTGGCGACAATCAGGGTCAATTGAGGCGAGCTACGGGCCCGTCCGGCTAGCAGCAACTGCCGGCTTTGGCTGCAAGTGGGGCCAGGCGTCAGAGGCAGCAACCCGGGCTTGTAGGGCGGAGGGCTGCGCAAGGCTTTGTAAGGGCCAGCAGCGGCCATCTGGCCTGACGCGGCTTGGCATGGGCTCGTGTCGGAGGCCTAGAGGTTGACACCAACACCAATATCGGCGGCTTGCCTCCACCGAGGGAAGATGATCCCGACCTCGGAGATGGGGGCAATATTCGGGCTTCCAGGTGGCCGAGAGATTACCACCACCAGAATCTCGGTTCATCGTCCTCCCGTGGAGGCAACCCCTGGTGTTGGTGATGGTGCCCCTTTCCAAGCTTCCAGTCGTGGGGCAAGCGTGGCCACCCGGCTGGATCGGCGCCTTGGGGCCACCGCCTCGGCGGCGGCAGCTGGCGCCGGCTGCACCCGCATGCCCAGTGCGGCCGGGCAGGGGCGGCCCGGGCCAGCGGCGCCAGGCAGGGGCAGCCAGGGGCGGGTGGCGGCAGCCGGCGCCTGCGGCAGGCGAGCCTCGGAAGGCCAGGCAGAGGCAGCGCCGGGGGTCAAGTGGTGGCCACCCACGTCGCCCAAATACATACATACATACATACATACATACATACATACATACATACATACATCCATCCATACATCCATACATACATACATACATACATACATGCATACATGCATACATGCATACATGCATACATGCATACATGCATACATGCATACATGCATACATGCATACATGCATACATGCATACATGCATACATGCATACATGCATACATGCATACATGCATGCATGCATACATACATACGTACGTACATACATACATACATACATACATACATACATACATACATACATACATGCATGCATACATGCATACATGCATATACATGCATGCATACATGCATACATGCATACATGCATACATGCATACATGCATACATGCATACATGCATACATGCATACATGCATACATGCAAACATACATACATACATGCATGCATGCATGCATGCATACATGCATACAGACAGACAGGTAGACAGACAGACAGACAGACAGACAGACAGACAGACAGACAGACAGACAGACATACCAACCACATCTGTATACATAAATCCATACATACATACAGACATACAAACAAGCAGATGCGTCAAACAGGTGAGGACCATCACGAACACGAGCCTCACGACGTTCTGGGTTCAAGAACGGTCCTTGTGGACTGGGCCCGAGATGTTTGCCCTGGCTCTGGGTCCTACACCGTGCTGGTGCGTTGCGATGACGCTTGCTTTCAGAGCATACTGCTCGCACGAATGTTTCTACAGCGGTCCGACGTAGTGCATTCGCAACGATGGCAAGTTTTGGGATCTTGCAACGTCGGCACCCAGCCAAGATGCGGGATCATTCGCCCACCACGCGTTTCCGCTCCAGAGTGTTGTCTGGCCATCCTGTGGGCGCGCGGTGGCTGAGGGTGTCCCGCCGTAGTGTCCCGCGTTGTCCCGAAGGTGTCCCGCGATGTCCCGCCGTCGTGTCCCGATGGTATCGCGTGGTGACCCTTGGTGTCCCGCGGTGTCCCAGTGGTGTTCCGCGGTGTCCCGCGATGTCCAGTGGTGTTCCGCAGTGTCCCGAAGGGTGGTCGTATAGGAATGTATATCGTGTCTGTTTCTCACTCCCTCTCTCTTACTCTCTTTCTCTGTGATGTTGTGTTTTTTTCTCCTCCTCTCTTTTTTTCTGTTGCTCAAGCGTCAGATGTACATCGAAACAAGGAGGGCGTACAAACGAGGAAATTTGGATGTCTTGCTTGCCCTCCGAGACTCTATGAGAGTGGGCAAGGCGTACTGACTCTTACAGGACCCCGCGGCTAAAATATATGGCATCCGCAAAAGTCTTCAATCTAAATTTCCCTCCATCTCTGCTGGCACGCCGCCGTTATCGACCGCAGGTGGCCGCCCTTGGAGGCGTCAGGACCCTGACCAACTGGCGCCTGCGACCCTACGCTGCGGCAGGACCGACAGGGGGAAGGGTTCGTCCTATGGGATTCGAGAAGGAAGCAGCGGCAGACCGAGACGTCCAATGAATGAAGACCCGCATTCCATTGAAGTAGGTATTGCTTGCTTGTTGCTGTATTTGTCCCCTGCGGCGAAGAGGGCCGTGAACACGGTACGTGAGGCCGGCGCATGTTTTGTTGAGGGGTCGACAAAGCGGGGTCACACCTCTGTGGATGCGTGTTCCCGCGAGCAAGCGGGTGTGCGCGCGTGTGCATGCGCGCGTGCTTTCGCGTGTGCGTGCGTGCGTGCGTGCCTGTGTGTGTGTTTGTTTCGTGTGTGTATGTGTGTCAGAAAGAAGCCAGGCGAAAGTTGGCAAACCCGTAGCTGCTAGAACGGAGTTCCGGACAATTGTTTGTTTCTTCCGGGAAGCAGCCCGTTTAATATTCTAGTGCGCTGCGTTTTCTTATGGAAATTTGTTTTTTTCTTCCGGGAAGGCCGTTTTAGCAGCCACGGATTGCCAGCCCTCGCCCAGCTTCCGAGTGTGTGTGTATGTGTGTTTGTGTGTGGTGCGCGCGCGTGTGCGTTTCTCCTCCTCTCCCTCTCTCTTCATTTATCGGCCACGCGCAGAGATGGGTATAGGGGGAGGGGAGAATGCTTCATAGAAGCGCTCCTGCTTCTTGGAAGTCGCTGGCCTGACCTATAGATGTAAGGCCGTGGCCTTCGAAAAAGAAGAGTGCTTCTAAGAAGCCGTTCTTCCCCCCTCCCACTGCCCCCCTTTGCGCGCCCGCCAGATTTGTATTTCTCTTTCTGCCTCTCGCCCTTCATCATATGTGTTATCTCCGCAGGTGCCCCAGGACGCTTAGGATGGAAAGGCAGGACGAGACCCGCGCGGGGTGCCCGACGGGGCGTCTCGCAAGGGCGGGGGGGGGGGGGTCGAGGCCTGCAGGCGAAAGGGCCTCGACCGGGGCCCAACCGGGGGGCACCCCTGGGGCACCGAAGGCGCACGAGCGGCGCACCGTTCTTCCACCCCTCCCCCGCTGATTGCACCCCCCCCCTCCAATCTGCATCCTCGATCCTCCTCCTCCTCCTCCTCCTCCTTCTCCTCCCCCTCCCCCTCCCCCTCCCCATCCCCTCCCCCTCCCCCTTCTCCCCCTCCTCCTTCTCCTCCTTCATCTCCTCCTTCTCCTCCTCCTCATGACAAAAACACTGCAGAACCATACAAGCATCCGACTTTGGGGGTTTCTGCTCTTGAGGTTCAGGGTGGCGGCTCTGTGAGGCTGCCGGGCGGACAGGACAGACGAGGGCGACCGTGTTCGTGTTGGCTGTGCTCGGTCATCCCCGCCCTATTGCCCCTCCTCTTTTTCCCCATAACAGGTGCGCTGGGCAAGAACACAAGCTTTCGACGGCCCGCGCGGATTTCTTGGACCTGGTCGACAGCTTTTCGCTTCTGCCAAATACTTGTCCTTTACAGGCGGGAGCCATCGAGGACCATCCTGGACCATCGAGCAAACAAAACACGCACGAAACCTAAAAATGCACAGGAAATGGACGTCCGAGGGATGGCAACTTTTTCTCTGCCATAAAGCGACGCCTGGGCCCCCCCGGGGGCCAACAGGCCAACAGGGGCCCCAACGGGCCCCAGACGGGGCCCCCTGTCGGCCCCGCAGGTGCTGGAGCGGTGCACCGTTCATCACCCCCCCGCCGCTTGTTGCCCCCCTCCCTGAACTTGACGCCGCTCGGACGTGTGCGCTGTTCTCGGCGAGGACCTCCGCGGGGCATCTCGGATCGTCCTGCGAGCGACGCGCGCGAAACCGTCCAATGCCCGCGGCATGGACGCCCCCCCCCACCCCCACCCCCCCACCCGCATGAAGCGACCCCCAGGCCACCCCCCGCAAGGCCCATTTCGATCCGATCATCGAGCCGCTTCGAGACCGTTTTCGGCCATGCCGCTCCGCATCGATGCCGATCCCCCGCCGAGGCGGTGCGACACTCGGCGCTCGCCTGGCGTGGCCGTGCGTCCTGGTGCAGCGGATCCGACTCGACCTCGGCTCCGTGCCGATGCGGCCCGAGCCGCACACGCTCTCCGCTTCGGCTCGACTGCTCGGTGCTCGAGGCCGACTGCTCCTGTCCCGGGGGGGGGCCTCTTCCGCCGGCCCGCCCAGGCACCGCCGCGGCGGTGCCGATGTCCACGCTCAGCGCCGGCTTCTCCAAGGCCCCCGGCCGGCCGCCGCCGCCCGCGGCCTCGGCACACGGGCGCCGCGCGCGGGTGGGGGGCGGGGCGGTCGTCGGGGGGAGGAAAGACACACAGGCACAATGAATCGTCGATTCCCCAGAGAATATAGGAAAATATGGGCAGTGGGGGGGGAAGGCAGAAACCCAGAACATATGGGGAAATATGGGGAATCCTTGTATTTGTGTGTCTTGATTTGTGGGTCCCAGGGCCCCTTCAGGTCGGGGGCTGCTCAAGTCGAGCAGTGGCGAAGCGTCCTGGCCTGCCTAGAGGCCCACCAAAGACTGTTATGAGAGCTTCCTCTGGTTTGCACGAAATGTTCTCGAGTAGGACGGCATGTTTAGCTGGGGCTGTCTTGTTTTACTACGTCGGCCGGATGTTCTACGAGCTGCTGTTTCTGTGCTTAGGACATGTTTGATAACAAGTCGTGGTAGGTCTATAGGAATGCTGGGACGGTCAGTCCCTGCTCAATCGAGGTGCCCCTGGCCCAAGGATCCCCCAGCTTTTTGTTCCATCTTGGAGCTCCCGGGGCCCTCTGGGCCTCGTGGCCTCCTGGGAAGTCCTCGGGGCACATGGAGGCCTCGGTGGCCTCCGTGGGAATCCTCGGGGCACTTTGGCCCGGGGGGGCGCTTCTGGCAACACCCGAGGCGGGGGGAGACGGGCAGGGGCTGGCTGCGCGTAAAAGTGGACGTTCGCCCGAGTGCCCTCCGGTGCGCAGCTTTCAAGGGCCGCTGCCGGGCCAGGCCCAAGGACGCAGGCCGCTGCTGTTCGTCGGGCATGCTCCTCTACATGAGGAACACTCAAAAGTAGTCAAGACATAATCTGGGGACTATTTTCCTATTCAGTTTTTTCACTATGGTTCAATATTTGTTCACTATGTTCCCTTTGTCGCCCCAATTTCGCCTGTATGAGGTGATGCCCGACCTTACGCTACTGTCGCGCCGCGCGCGGCGGCCTGCAAACCGCGTACTAGAGGTAACGCTTGCTTGGGGTCGCTCTTTCGCGTAGCCGGAGAGGGGCGGCGAGCGAGGGGAGGAAGCGAGACGGAGCAGGCCCTCTCAGGGCGCAGCGGGGCTTCTCGGGAGCCCCCGAGCCTTTTGAGGGGTTTTCCGCGTCCGCGGGGCGGGCGGGGAAGACTTCCCAGAAGGCCGGGGGACGTCCGAACCCTCCGAGAAGATCCTCTCCTCCTCACTCACCCCCATCGCTCGCCGCCCAGAAGGGCGGGGGCAGGAGCGAGACAGCAGACGCACGCGTACGGTAGGTTCGTGTCGTGTCGACCGGCGGCGACCCCGCCGTTGGCGTTCCATGCTGAACGCCGCCGGCGACCCAGAATCGGTCGATGTGGAACGATCTGATGTTTCTGGGACGGCCGATCGCTCAAAATTGAGCGATCTCCGACGCCCATCGCCGTGGTGTCAGAAACCAACGCCGAAGTCGGCGCGACACGAACCTAGCGTACGTGCACGAGCTCGCGCGGGGCTCCGCGCGAGCCGCCTGCAGCGTGAAGGGGGCGGCCTCTCACACGCTGGGGGGGGGGGGGGGCGAGGCGCACGCGCGTGGCCTGTGGCGCGTGCGCGCGTCGTGGGTTCCGCAGGGGGGGGGAGGGGATCGGGCCGAACGATATGGGGGGATAGGGAGAGGGGGGGGTACGAAATCTGCTGCATGCAGCTGCGTGTGGCCCCGCCGCCGGACCCATCCTTCGATGCATAGCCGCCTCCGGCGCCGGGAGGCGCCGGGGAAATCAGCTACGTGAGCTGATTCTCAAACCCCCCCTTTGCTATCCCCCCCTGTTCGCCCGGCCCGAGGGGAGGAGGCAAGGCCAGAGGGAGGCAGGGGGCGGAAGGGAGCGAAGACGGGCGGACGGAGAGGGGAAGGGGGAGGAGCGGGCGGGGAAAGGCAGGAGGCAGGAGATCACCGCCCACCAAACCACCCCAACCCAACCCGAAGGCCACGATTTGCCCTTCGGTGAGGGGGTCGGGAGGGAAGGAGCGAGGAATCCGAGTGAGCGGACGACTCGGAACAATCTTCGAGCAGAGCCGTCGGCAGCGCGGGGCCGGCTCGACACCCCGACCGGGAGGGACGCCCGGCGCCTGCGCCCATGTCTACATCACACACGACACACATACACACCGTGTAGCACACCCCCGAAGCTCCTTTCCCCAAAGTGCAGCTCCCTCAGAAAGGTGACTCCATTTCCAGTGGGGGGGGTCGGGGAACACCGATCAAAAAACATGAAACCCGTACCCCCCCCCCAACCCGAAATTCGGGTCTTCGGGTTGGGTTGGCGTGGTCTGGTAGGTACAGTGCCGGTTTTAATGCATGCTCCGCGTGCGGACAATGTATTACAAACAGCGATGAGTTCATGCATACATTCATTCGCAGATAAGTCATGTATTAAAAATCCGTTTTAAACAACAAATCATGTGTATTAGAAATTGCCCTGTAGTCAGGAGAGGGCGAGGGGAAGAGCTGGGCCTTCCTCCCGCTCTTAGCCTCAAAGGTAGAGAGCCCGCAGGGCGGGAGCCGCGGCGGGGCCATCTTCGGGAGCCGAGAGCCCGCAGGTGTGGCGTCGGGGCGCCCTCGCGAGGCGGAGGAAGAGGAGCAGGAGGAAAGTCAGGAGGAGAAACAACAATTCACAGACACAATTAATCGTCGATTCCCCAGAGAATATGGGAAAGTATGGGCAGTGGGGGGAAGACATAAACCCAGAAAATATTGAAAAATATGGGGGATCCTTTTATTTGTGTGTATTTATTTGTGTGTCCCAGGGCCCCTTCAGAAAGGGAGACGAAGAAGAAGAAGGAAGAGGAGGAGGAGGAGGCAGAGGAGGAGGAGGAGGAGGACGCCTCTTGGTGGTCTCTTCTGGTCCCCCTTGGCGCTTCCTTGGAGCTCTTCTGGGGGTCTCTCTGGGGCATCTTCGGGTATACCCTTGGAGTCATCTCCGGGACATCCTCCTGGGGCCTCCTTCGAGCTTCTTTGGTCCCTCCTTGGCAGTCTTGGGGTGCGCGCTTGGTCCGTCTGACGCCTCCGGAGCCGTCGTGGGTACCTCTCTGGGCCGTCTTGTGGCCCTCCTGGGGCGTGCAAGGGCCGTCCAGGCAGGAGTCTTGGGCCGCCTTAGGGGTCATCTTGAAGGCCGCACGGGCCGTCTCGTGGCGGCAGAAGTCCGGAAAGGAAGGTGAGAACGCCAAATCCTCCATGAGCCAGTCTCAGATCAGGGGATGTCTGCGCCGGGTCCCTCCTGGAGCACCGCCGCTCTGGAGCCTGAGCCATGGCTTGCTTGAGGTGCTGGGTCGTGATGGCCATGGCAGGCGTTCCAAGCGCCTCGCTGGCGGTGCATTACCTGGAGGCCTGCCATGCGCGGGGAGGGCATGTGGCATTCCCTCGCCCACAAGCTGGCCACGAGGCCCACTCACATAGACGTCCACGGCGGCAGTCTTGGAGCGCTCTTCGGGGGCTGGCAGGGCCGTATTGGAGCCCCTCTTGGTGCTCTCTTCGACAATGTTTGAGCCGCCTTGAAACCTCAGAAGCCGATCGGAAGCGAATTTGCTAAACGGCACACATCATTCGAAAGATATTCGATCTGGCCGTATCGAAGCCCCTCTTGTGGGTCTCTTGGGCGAATGTTGAGCCACCTTGGAACCGCAGAAGCCCCCAAAAGCAAATCTTCGAGAAGGTACATCATCATTCGTTTGGGTGTATTTGATGCACTTGGCTCTTCGGGGGCATCCTTGGGAGGCTGCGGGGTCACTTGGGGACGTCTTGTGACAGTTGTTGGGGCCTGATTGGAGGCACGGTGGAGCCCATCTTGAGCAATCTTGTTTTATGTGGTTTCTTCTTGAATTGGCCATCTTTCAGGAGGGGAAAGAACACACAGACACAATTCACCGTCGATCTCCAGAGAAATCAAAAAGGACATATGGGAAGTGGGGGGGGGAAGTCGAACATCCAGAGAAGATTCGAAAGTGTGGGGGATCCCAGGATTTGTGTCTGTGTGTTTGTGTGCCCCAGGGCCCCTTCAATCTTGGTGAACTGACTTGGACCCCTCGTGGATCCATCCTGGCGCCCTCCCCCCATCCAGTGCCCCGGGAGGGGAGGGACGTCCCTCGATAGAGCGGGTCAATGTCTGAAGCCTCCCCTTGGGCAGAACACCGCCGTGCCGCGCCCCCGTTTTGGCATCGTCAAGGCAAGACACGGCGAGGCCGTATCCAAGATAGCAGCCAAGATCGCACACGAAGGCTCAGGATGGTACGCGCGGCCTCCACTGGGCCTCCGAGAGGCCTCAGGACCGCCGCTACGAGGGCCCGAGAGGTGGCCACGAGGCGTGCCCGGCAGGGCCGCGAGAGGGCCGCAGACGTTGACACGCGTGAGGTTGTGTCGATGAGTCTAGCTGTTTTGCTTTCTCTTGGCATCACTCTCTCTTGGCATCACTCGGACGTGTGATTTTTTCCTTGGTGGGGACCATCGAGGAGCATCTTTGATCATTTGGCGAAAGAACCACGCACGAAACCCCAAAAGAACACAGGAAATGGACGTCCGAGCGAGGGCCAGTCGATGAGTCTGGCTGTTTTGCTTTCTCAGCTTCGACAGGCCCTGAAGGCCTCCATGTGGCCCCAAGATCGCTAAAGAGATGCCCCTTATCAGGGCCTGTCCCGCCATGAGGACTCCCAGAGCACCCCGAGAGGGTCACAGGATAGATCCAACTCGCGAGAGCGTCACCAGCACCACCCGCATTTTTGTCGCCATGTTGGTCGCAGGACGGCCCCAGGAGGGCCCTGAGGCTCAAAGGAACCCATCACAGGGCCCCAAGAGAGCCCTCAAAGGGACAGTCCAGAGCCCCGACAGGGCCCCAAACATCGAGCTTCGAAAGAGTCCCAAGATGGCCCACACAACCCTCAAATCTGAGGCTCCGCCCAGTAAGGATGTTCGTCTGTGCCGCGTCCTTCTCTCCTTGGTTGCCCATGGGCGGCCGCGGCGCCGGTTTGCCAGCCACATCCAGTCCGAAGGCAAGGGGGGAAGTGGTGTGATGTGGTGCAGGGGGGAAGGCTCACCCCTCCGAAGGGGCGGGGAATGATGGGGACCCGCTTGTTGGGATTTTCTGCTGCCGCCGCTTCTCTGGCATGCTCCGCTCCTCCCAGCGGTGCTAAACAGGGCCCAGGATTCAAACGCGCTGCCACACCGAGGGGGGGGAAGGAGGGAGGACGGGGAATGAGGGAAGGCGGCAGGATGAAAGAGAAGGGAAGGGTCAAAGGGCTGCAGGGGCAGGGGGGGAGGAGAGATGGACGAAGGACGGAGGTGGCGGAGGTGGCGATCAGCAGCTCGCCTGCCAGGTAAGCCTCTCGCTGCTGGTGATGCCATGGAAGGCGCTGCCCATGGCCCTCGTACTGGCGCCAGGCGCGCCTCCGGCGCTCCGTCTCGTGAGGGAGGGATTTTATGTGTGTCTCCCTTGGCCGCCAAGGCGGGCGACGTCGCGCAGGCTCAGTCCTGCATTCTGCACGAATCCGCGGTAACCGCTGGAGGTCTGTGGTGGGGCTCTGCGCGTGGGACAGCCGCCGCTGTCGCCGCTGCTCGTACCGGCGCCGGCTCGTGCTCGAGCCAGAGCGGCCTCGGGAGGCCCGCAGGCAGCGCAGGAGTGCCTCCAGCGGGGCTGCTCCTGACCCGCAGGTGCTCCCGGCGCTCGGCATCGCTCGGACGTGTGCATTTTTCCTTCGGCGAGGATCTTCGAGGAGCATCCTCGACCATCTGGCGAAAAAACCACGCACGAAACCGAACAAAACACAGGGAATGGACGTCCGAGCGATGCCCAGGGCATGGCCTCGGCGGATTTCCAGGGGGCCTGCTCAGGCCTCCCAGAGCGGTCCCGGTCTGGGCTGCTAGCGCAGCCGCCGAGGCGGGGGTCATTCCACCACGCCTGGTGTCCAGGGTTCTCGGGAGCAGTCGGGCATTGCCCGGCGATTTTGGCGCGCCAGGACGTGTGTGGTACAATGCGCGTTTACCCCGTCCAGATCCACCGATCGCACGCAGCCCGTATAGGTCCTGCTTGCACAGCCTGCGTCTTATTCAAGGGCACGGATGGGCAAGCACACGCCAGCGCTACCGCACCTTCTAAGGATAATCGGGAAGGGTCCCGCGGTTTCCCCGTCGGCGGCTTGAGCGACACCGACGGTGCACAGCGCCACCGCCAGTGGCAACGCCTTCGCCTTGGCCCAAATAGGGGGGAGAAGGGGAGGGTAGCAGTAGGGAGGAGTGAAGGAAGAGGGTTGGGCCAGACGAAAGGGTAGTTGGGATAGGGAAAGAGGGGGGTACGAAATCTGCTGCGTGCAGCTGGTTTCCGCCCCGCCGCCGGGCCTGTTCCTCGATGCATGGGCGCCTCCCGGCGACAGGAGGCGCCTGGAAAACCAGCTAGGTGAGCTGATTCTCTGCCCTGCCCTTTGCTATCCTACCCTTCCGTCCCCCCCGAGGGGGAAGGAGAGAAGGAGAGGAGGGAGGGAAGGGGGAGAGTGTACTCGGCGTCACCCCAACATACTACTACTACGTGCGCGCGTCGCCACCCCAGGGGCGACGCGCGCACCGAGAAATCTTATAGTAGATGCGTCGTGGCGGACGCTTTCTGGCCACGCCGCTCGGGAAACGAGATGCTACAGGATGGGCATATTATATGTTCGGGTCGGACGCGCGCCTCCAATGAGGACACATTCAGTATCAGCATGTCTCTGTGCTCCCCATGCAGGGAGCGGTGCAATGGGGGAGATGCAGAGCGAGGGGAGTGGGTCAGGCAATCGCAAACATTCAGGAGGGAAAAAAACACACAGACACAATTAATCCTCGATTCCCAGGAAAATGTGGGAAAATATGGGAATTGGGGCGGAAGACAAACACCAAGAAAATATGAGAAAATATGGGGACTATTTTTATCTGTGTGTATCTATTTGTGTGTCCTAATTTCCTTTTAGACATGGATTAAGGGGGCGTGGATTGGCGGCGGGTCCCGTTGCGGTGGGAAAAATCGCGGAGCCCCGCCGCCGAATGGCGGCGGCACCGACCGCCTCTTTGGGGGAGGGCCCCTTCCCCGATCCAGGGACCAAGGGCTCCCATGGGCCAAGGGCTCCCTCGAGGGCGCGAAGTTCTTCGCGCTTCGCGCTTCGCGGTCCTCGCTCCTCCTCCCCCCTCCTCCTCGTCCTCCTCTTCTCCCTTTGGGGGGGGCGGCGCGAGGGCGCGAAGTCATTCGCGCTTCGCGCTTCGCGGAGCGCGAAGCGCGAAGTTGGGAGCCCTAGTGGACTTGGCGACCGCGCGCCACATCCGTGGGTCGCTGATCCTTTTTTTTGCGCGCCCCCGAAGAGTCGCCGCCTTACCGATTCAGTGGGCGCAGCAAGGGAGTAGATCTCCATCGGTTACCACCGTGCAGAGGAGGAGAGGGTGCGTGCCGATGTCGTTGCCCATTCCTTTTTGTTCCCCTCTTGTGGCCTCCTGGGAGGACGCAGGGTTATGTCGGGCGTGCCCGCCTACAGAAGGCCCCCAAAGGTCAAACAGTACTCAAAACATAGTCCCCAGACTATGGTTAAGACTATTGTTTGAATCTTGTTGGGGTATGTTGCATCTTCCGTCGAACATCCCCCTGTAGGGGGACAGGCCCGACTTGAACGCGTGCCGATGTCGCTGCCCTTCTCTCGTTTCCCCCTCTTCTGTCAAGAGGAAATTATTCGTCGGTCCCCAAGAAAATATTGGAAAATATTGGCATTGGGCGGGAAGACAAAACAAACAACCCAGAACATGTAGGAACATATGGGGACTCTTTTTTTATCGGTGTGCATGTATTTGTGTGTCCCAGGGCCCCTTCACTTTTGGCCTCCTGGGAGGACGCAGGGGGGATGGCGCGGGGGCGAGCGGGAGGGGTGCAGGGCGCGGGGGCCTCGGCGCCCCCCGAGGCATCTCGGGGCAGGGGGGCGCCCGCGGGCGCCCTGCCAGACAGGGAGACTGCGCAGCAGCAGCCCCCCTCCTCGCGAGGAGCGGCGGCGAGCCCCAGGGGGGGGGGGGGGGGAGGGCGAGGAGGGGCGGGCCTCCTGGCCTGCTGGCCCGAGAGGGAGGCGAGGAGGGGAGGCAGGGGGGGGGGGCGAGGGGGGCAGGGAGGATGAGCGAGGAGGGAGCGAGGAGGGGAGGGAGGGGGGAAGCGAGGAGGGAAGGGAGGAGGGGAGGGAGGGAAGGGAAGGGAGGGGAGGGAGGGGGGGAAGCGAGGAGGGGGGGAGGCGAGGAGGGGGGGAGGCGAGGAGGGGCGGGCCTTCTCGGAGGGCTCGGAAGTCCCCAGCAGGCCTTCTGGGAAGTTTTCCCCCAAGCTACTTTAGCCTTGATCACTGGAAAGAATTTCGAGCTCCCCCAACAATGCCGAAGCTCGAGGGTTTTCACGCGTCGGGCCCTGGGAGACACTCGCCCGACGCTGTTTCGACACTCTTTCGACACTCTTTCGACACTTTTCCGGGTGATCGAAATTATTTATGGGATGCGGTGCTTAAGTAGGATGGGAACAACATAACCCCAGGGGGGGAGGCGAGGAGGGGCGGGCCTTCTCGGAGGGCTCGGAAGTCCCCAGGCCTTCTGGGAAGTTTTCCCCCAAGCCTTCCCCGAAGGCGCAGAACACCTCTCAGAAGATCAGGGACCTGCCGAGAAGCCCCGCCGCCTTCTGAGCAGGCCTCCTCCTTCTCATGTTCCCCCCTCGCTCGCCACCGAGCTTAAGATGGTCGAAAACACAAAAACTGAATCAATATTAAGCTGTCGGCGGTCAGGAGCACGTGCCTGTAAACGGCGCTTCCGGAGCATGTGCCCCCATTTGCCCCCAACACAGCAACCACCCTGGACAGTTCGCGTTTCCTTTGTGCATGCCCACTGCATCTGGCAGCTCCTGTGGGCAATTAAATTCACCATTATTCACCCTCCTTTGGAACAACTCTTCTTCACCTTGGCATCGCTCGGACGTGTGCATTTTTCCTCGGTGGGGACCATCGAGGAGCATCCTTGATTATTAGGCGAAAAAACCACGCACGAAACCAAAAAAACACAGGGAATGGACGTCCGAGCGATGGCGAGTCACCGAGCAGCCACTGCCCAGGGAGGAAGGAGGGATGGAGGGAGGAGGGAGGAGGGATCCGAGATAGGCATGGAGGTAAGGGAGGAGGAGGGAGGCCTGGAGGAGAGGCAGTGGAGAGTAGAGGATCGTGGGAAAGGAGGAGGAGGGGAAGTAAAGGGAGCTGGAGGAAACAGGCAGGACAGCGCGAGGGAAGAGAGACAGCAGAGAGACAGCAGGAATCGTGGAGGATGGCGACGTGGGGGAGGGCGGGGGAGGAGGCGGGAGGCAAGGGGGGTGGATGAGGGCTGGCGAGTTGTTCGGAGCGCGGCCCCGGGCCTGCCAGTGGTGTGGCTGCTCCCGCTCATGAACAAGATGATCTTCCAGAACTCCGCCCGGGCTGCGACTGCCTCGGTGTTCACAGGAGGGCGTGCTGCTCCTGCGCCCGGCTTTGGGGAGGACGGGGAACCGTTGGCTCATCCTCCTGCTCTCGCCGCTCTTCTCGTCCTTCTCCTCCTCCTCCCTCCCCCCCTGATCACTCATCCTCCTCCATGCTCCCTCCCTCCCTCTTGATCCCCCTCCTTCCACTCCCCTCCGGCACCTCCTCCCATCCTCGCCCGTTCTTTGCCTCTCCTCGCCCCTCAGCCCTCTGGCATCCTCACATCGCCTCCGCTCCTGCGAGCTCCTACTCATTTCTTCTCCCGACTTCGCCGCCTCCCTTCATCTGCTCCTCACTTCCCCTCCTCCGTTCTCCTCCTCGCCGTCTCCTCGCCTCCTCTCCCACTGCACGCAGTCGCCCGACCTGTTCTGCTTGCCAGATGGGGCTTGACGCTAACACACCTCAGATAAATCCTCACTGCCCCACTCTGCCCTCCCCCCCTGTCCTTCATCTCCCTTCTCTCCCCACTTTTGTTGGCCCGTCGTGGGCCCAGAAGCGCTGTATACTGCCTACGCCTCCTGCCTTGGCCAGGGAGGCATCTACGCCGCTCCTGGGCAAAGGATGGGCCTGGCCTGGTGCAGTGGACATGTATAGATCTCGTCGCCCCAACTAGCATGATCATTTCCCTTCCCTGGCCTCGTGCTGCTCAGCAGAGAGCACGAGAGTTTGTGTGTGTGTGAGGGCGCGCGTGGTGCCTGCATGCGAGAGCGTGCGGCACTGCGGGCTCTTGCCGACGTTGTGATCCGCACCCGTACTCTAGCGTGGGGCGTGTTCTGATGACGTAGCGCGCGAGCCTGTGCGCACTCGAGCGCAGGTGGCTCCGTCACGTCGCTGGTCGTGGTGGCTACGCGTTGGGCTCGGAGATGAGCTGTGGAGAGAGCGAGAGAGAAAGAGAACGAGAGAGAGGGAGGGACAGAGAGATGGAGGGAGGGAGAGAGGGAATGGGAGGTGGAGAGGGAGAGAGAGAGAGAGAGGGAGAGAGAGAGAGAGGGTGTGGGCGAGCCTGAGAGAGAGAGAGATATATAGATAACACAAACAACTGACACACATACATACATACATACATACATACATACATACATACATACATACACACACACCTACCTACCTACCTACCTACCTACCTACATACAGACAGACAGACAGACAGACAGACAGACAGACAGACAGACAGACAGACGGACAGACAGACAGACAGACAGACAGACAGACAGACAGACAGACAGACAGACATACAGACATACAGACAGACAGACAGACAGACAGACATACAGACATACAGACATACAGACATACAGACATACAGACATACAGACATACAGGCATACATACATACAGACATACAGGCATACAGGCATCCAGGCATACATACATACAGACATACATACATATAGAAGCGCTGCGTCCCAGTCATTCTCTACCTGGTCCTGTCGTTCATGCCCGTGCCCTGCTTCGAGAACCTGTTCTCTGAGCTGACGTTCTACGGCATCGCGCTCGTGTCCACGTTCTTCATGTACACGTTCTTCCCGGAGGCCGTGGCGGAGGGGGCGGGTGGTGGGGGAGGCTCCTCCCCTCCTGGCCCCTGCTCCCGCCCCGCCCCACCTGCTTCCCGCTCCTCCCCACCCCCGCGTTCCCCCGCCCCTGCCTCCGCCCGCCTGCCTCCTCCTGCTCCTGCACTGCCTCCCGCCCCATCTCCCCCTCCCGTGCCCCCCCATCCTGCCTCCCGCCCGTCGGGGGGGGGGGGGGGCAAGGAGTATCGGTGCCAGGCCGCCGCGGGGGCCCCCAGGGCCCCCCATGGGCGTGCTGCTGTCGACGTGCGCTGTCTCGTTCTGCAGACGAAGGACGAGGGAGCAGCACGCCGACAGGGGGGCCCTGGGCGCGCCCCCACGGCGGCGTGACGTTGATATTCCCCCCCCCCTGCCCCTTTGGGCGGAGCGAGGTCGCCGGGCGCAACGCCGGGGAGGCGGACGGGGGGGGGGGGGGGAAGGGGCAGGGCGGAGGGCGGAGGGGCCGCCCTGGCCGTGTGTTGGCTCGCCCTCCGCGCTGCTTCGGGGGGGTGGCGGGAGCTGCTCGGGAGGCGGCTTCGGAGGAGGAGCGCTCTCGTGGAGCGGGGGGGGGGGGTGCTTCTCGCGCCTGCAGTCCCAGTCTGCCCCGAGCTCCACAGCGCCTGTCGCCGCCGAGCTCCCGTCGACTGCCGCCGACGGGCTCTGACTCTACGGGCGCTCGGGCCCAGCGGCCTGTCGAAGAGAAAGGGGGGAGGGGGGGAGGGGGAGAAGGAGGAGGAGGAGGAGGAGGAGGAGGAGGAGGGGGAGGGGGAGGAGGAGGAGGTGGAGGAGGAGGTGGAGGAGGAGGAGGGAGAGGCAGGGGGGGCCAGGAGGGAGGAGGGGAACGGAAAGGGAGGGGAAACGGTGAAGCCCCACTTGTCCGCTGGGCCAGGTTCCGTTTTGGCAATGGTAAGCAGTCGTTGAGGCGGTCGTTATGCCCATCGACCAGAGCACTTCGGAAAGGGGTTGTGAATCGGATGTGGCTCGGTGTGACGACGCTGCAGCAGCAGCGGCTCCGCTTGACGGCGACTGCGAGGAGCAATCACGTTCCACACCATTGCCACAAACAGATGAAGATGAACGAAGTAAACATAACATCTAGGACATGCGAGGCAAGGCTTAGATTACACAATGGACATACATTCCTCCACGTTCGATCGGCATTGGACAGTGTATGTACATATATATATATATATATATGTCTATGTGTATACTGTTGTTACTCCAATTTGCACCGAGTGCCTGATGGCATCGAGGATATCACCCCGCAACAAGAGTGACGAATCAAGGTGAAGCCACATGGTGTCAGGCACAGTGCGCGTTTGCGCACCGTTGTTGCTCAAGGGAAGCTTTGAGAGAACAGGCGCCGGTCTGACCATATCAGTTTGTTGGACGGCGTGATGTATCGGTTTGCTCAACGGCGTGATCTCGGCATCCTCATCGGACACGTCCAACGACTCGGGCGGGACGGACGGGTCGATCGTTGTAGGCAGCCCTCGCGATTTTGACGTTTGTGGTCGGACAATTGTCGATGGCCCCTTCGGGGCTCTCGAGAGGCATGAGGACTACGTTGGAGCCCTCGGTATTCCATGATTGACTCAGGTTGGAAAGCGATGTTGGAGGGCGGCCTGCAGGGAACATGCGTGACTTGTGTTCAATTCTGGCTCGTGATGCTTGATACGCCAGCGTGTATAGTTCATGCTTTTCTTTTCGCGGAATTAGATGAAAATTGTGACATGCCTTCCTATCTGTACTCGGTATGCCAGCAACGCGTGTTCGCACTTATCGCTATTGTGGCCTTAACGACGACTTCAAGTTTGAAGTTGGGTGGTGGTTGGCCTTTCCGTGTTCGCCACCTGCAGAATATGACCGGAATCTTCCATCGGTCGAGCACGTCGCCCATCTCGATCAGCGCCAGTGCCTTTCAAAACAAGGAAAGGTGGAATCGAGTAAGAAGTGCATGAACATAATCTTTCGGCGCTCCGCGCGGATTCCTTGGATCCGCGCTGGGGACCCCTGGCGGCGCCTCTGGCGCCGCCCCTGGCGCGCTCCGCGCGCTAGGGAGGGGGGCTAAGCGCGTATCCAAGAAATCCGTGCGGACCTTCAAAGGTTGATGGTTGTGCCTTTTCTCTTCCTCTATGGAAGAGCGAGAGAGTCAAGACAAGTTGGCTCCAGGTGGCCTGGCGTTCGAATCTGCGGCGACGAGCTGCTCTGAGCGCTGTCCTCGCGGCATTCCGTGCCAAGTTCGTCCGACGTTTGTCCCTGCATGGGCCACCGGGCAGCCCCTGCGCTTCCCCGGTTAGGACGAGGGCGAGGTGGGGGGGGGGGGGAAAGGTGTGAGCTCGTCAAACGACGGAGCGCGTAGTACAAGAGAGTTGAGAGGGTGAAGGGGTAGGAGGAGTCTGGATCCGAAGAACAAAAACGGCATAAGCATAAACCTTCGACGGTCGGCCCGGCTTTTTTGGATCTGCGCCGGAGCCCGCTGGCGCCGCCCCTGGCGCGCTCCGCGTGCCAAGGAGTCGGGTCCAGCGCAGATCGAAGAAATCCGCGCGGACCGTCGAAGTTTTATGGTTATGCATTTGTTTATCCCTCCAGGAATGGAGGAGCGGGAGGGGGAGGGAGGGGCCAGGATCTCAGCAGGCCCGGCTCTGGGTGAACGCGCCGCTGACCAAAACAGAGGATCGAGAACCCCCGTTTCTTTTCTTATCCTCGCCTCCTCTCCTGGTTCCTTGTCTTCAGCTCGTTTCCGTCTCCAATCCACGTCCCCTCTCTTACTACACCTCGCCCTTCCCGCATGCTTCCCTTCTGATCCCCCTTCCTAAGTATCCTTTTCCCTCCTCCGAACTCTCTCCTCCCTGACCCCCCATCCATCTCCTCCTATTCGCCCACCCCTTTCTCCCGCCTCCTCTCTCCTCCTTCCAGTGTCGGGCAATCCCTACCCATCCTCGTGGTCGACTGCGCCCGCCTCCGAGAGGTGTGGCTGCACGACTTCATGTTCATGCACTACTTGGCCCTCTTCACCGTCCCACTGATTCCCCTGGCCTTTGCCTACATGCCGATGTTCGCGTCCAGGGCGTATCTCTTCCTGTGAGGCGCCGGCGCTTCTTTGAATAAGGCGGGATGCCATTGTAACATGTTAGCCAGTGTGGACCCCAGACAGCGTGCGTCTGGCAACATATGTTGCGCAATATGTGTTGTGCAAGCGGCTTGGTGCAATCTACGCTGTGCAACCTATGTTGTGCAATCTACGCGCTGGAATTCATGTCTGTGGAACTCGCAGTTGCCAACTCCACTGCTCGCGCAGTCATCCCACCGAACGACCCAGAACTGGTTACGCAAAACACATGCGGCGGCGATTGCGAGGAGTGTTGGGTGATGATGTGTGCATCTCTGCGACCGCGCTAACCCGCGCACGCTCCGCGCGCAGCGGCCAGCTAGTTTGGCGCGACCGACGCGGCCGCGATGGCGCTGACTTCTGGGCACTTCCCAGCGGGCACGACAGTCCGAGTCAGCCACTTGTGCGGGCGCGGTATCATGGCGACGTCGACAACGGTAGACACGATGACGGCAGTAGCAACGCTGGTGGCGATGTGACAACGGCGACAGCACGGCCAGTGACGGCGCCGATGCTGATCACGCCGACGACGGTGACGGCGTCTTCGCGTCGGAGATGCAGGTTGTTGAATGGGTTCGACATGCGCGCGCGGCCGACGCGCTAGAGTGGCCCGCGTGGTATTAATTGGCACGGGTCGTGCCCCCCACGCACGCGCGCAAGGGCGTTGGAATGATGTCGAGATTCGGCGCGTATTGCCCGTTTGGCAGAGTTTGATGGCCATGGCGAATTGGTTTATAGTTTGGGAATTTGAAAGAGCGCGAGCGCAGTTGTATGAATTGTTAATCCAGGGCCATGTGTTTTCATATGTTTTCGGGGCATTCGGCCTTGACACCTTACGAAACCAAAAAGGTGTTTGAAGGAGTTCGGCATGCGCGCGCGACAACGCGCGCGTGTGCACTGTTCCGTTTTTTTGCAAGCGACTCTTGCGACAGCGCGTGCACAAAAGGCGCCCGAACGATTTCGACACGCGCCCGGAATAGGCCAGTTGGTAGTTTTTTCATTCGAGTATTTGAATCACCTATGGCTCTAAAGCGCGAGCCCAAATTTTGACTTACAGTTCATGTTGCGAAACCCTGTGTTGTTTTATACTGCTTCGGGACACTGTATTTTAATGCTGCCCTTACGACACCACGGGGGTGTTGAACGATTGCGGCATGCGCGCGACGACGCGTTCGCGCGCACTTCGTCAAACTTTTCTGTTGTTTGTTTATGTTTTCTCTTGCACGGGGTCTTGGACACCCACGATGTTTGATACACGTGTGCGTGCGCATCAGAGTTTCCTCAAAATATGAAAGGGGGAACCGTTACCCGTTTTGCTGGGCTGCTACGAACTTATACCTAGGAAGGACGATGGGGCAGAACATATGTTACTTGCAGTACGAAAAGAGGACGGTTAAATCCCGCGAGGGGGTTGGGGATATCCGAATATTCGTTATACAAAATGGATCGTATAGGTGGTACAAAACATGAGCTGTTACAAAAAATATGTCAATGGATGTGGTGTTACTTACATGATGCAACGCATGTTGGCGCAATCTATGTGGTGCAACCGACGTGGCGCGATTTACGCGCTGCTACTAATGAAGTGCAGTCTACGTTGTGCACTAGAACGTCTCCAACATACGCGGTGCAACCAATGTGGTATACTATTTGTTGTGCGGTTTCGAATGCCCGGAATAGGCTGTGCACTATACCTGGAACCGACGTGGTGCAAACTACGCGGTGCAATCCAGGTTGTGCAATTCATTTGCCGTGCTTGAAGTTGTCAACTCCAGTGTTCGCGCAATCATCCCACCCACCCGCCCACAACTTGGTTTGCAAAACCCATGCGGGAGCGATTGCGATGAGTGGAGCCTGCTGGCTGGTGCATTTCTGCGGCAGCGGCCAGCTATTTTGGCGCGGCCGGCTCGAACGCGGTGGCGCTGACCGTTCGGCACATCCCAGCGGGCACTTCAGTGCGAGTCGGCGAATTGGGCGGGCGCGGTACCATGGCAACGTTGACAATGGTAAACACAATGATGATAGTAGCAATGCTGGCGACGATGCTGACAGCGACGGCGGGGTAGCCAGTGACGGCGCCGATGCTGATCACGCCGACGACGATGACGGCGCCTTCGCTTCGGTGATGAAGGTTTTGACAGAAATTCGACATGCGCGCGCGGCAGACGCGCGAGAGTGGCTCACATGGTATTACTTCACACGGGTCGTGCCACCCCAGCACGCGCGCAAGGGCGTTCGAACGATTTCGACATGCGTGAGCGAAGCCCGCTTGTTTTTGTTCAAGAATTGTCGCTTTCACGTTAAATCCGAATTTAAGAACATGGTGAAAAAAACGACGTTTTTCAAACATGAGCAAGAGCGCGCGCACGAGTTTGTCGAAAATCCGAGTTGCGAAACCTTGAGTTTTCTATTTAAAATATTTTTTGCAAACGCAAGTAACAACACAAAACACTCGATGTTGAAATCATTCCGATACCGATCGTTTTTGGCATGCGCGCGCGACGGCTCGCGCGTGTGCATGTCGTTCCGTTTTTTGTTTCCCCCCAAGAGGTTTCTCACAAGTCGTGATTGTTGATGAACGACTGCGCGTGCATAATATAGTATTGTTGTGCAGGGGATGGCGGGAGGGAACGATACCGGCATGGCTGGGACAATACGAATCACAGGTCGGAGGGACATTCGGTCCGAATCATATGTGTTTTGCATTGGTTCCCGGTGAATCGATGAGTCCGGGGGGGGGTGAACCGATCCGTTTGTATCGAGGGGCGCAATCTATGTGGTGCAACGTGTTGTTTAATCTATGTGGTTCAATCGATGCGGTGCAAGCTTCGTGGGGCAATCTACGCTATGCAATCTAGGCGGCGAGCGGGCGGCCACGGCGGCCATGGAACCACCAGACCGCCACGCAGGCCCAGACGACGGGCGGCGACGGGGCTGCGACGGCGACCACGGAGCCACCAGACCGCCACGCTGGCCCATACGACGGGCTGGCGGCGGGGTGGCGACGGTGATCACGGAACCGCCAGACCGCCACGAAGGCCCAAACGACGGGTGGCGACGGGGAAGCGACGCAACCACGGAGCCGCCAGACCGCCACGCAGGCCCAGCTCAATGGAGGACAAGGAAGAGCTCGTAAATGCAAACACTGTTCGGAGAACTTCCTTTAAACCGAAGGTGGGATCACCCCGAGCAGCGCCCATCAATGGCAGATTTGGCGGCCTCTTGGAGCCTACCGTGGGCAGATTGGCGCTCCCGTGGGGCTGATAAAGGGGAATGTGTGGGTCCCTTTTGGGGTGTTGCTGGTGGCTCCTGTGGGGGATTATCCAAGCCTTTTCGGGTCATCCTGAATGTCAGGGGCCACACGCTCAATGAATGTATCATTAGAGCTTGGGCATGTATCTGTTGGGACCCGCTGGGGGTTCCCTTGGGATGCTCTTGGGGGGGCTTGGGGCCCTTTGGCTATGGTGGGGCCGTCTAGAGTCTTGAAAGAGCATTTGGACGCCCACGTGCAAAAAGCCGACCATCATCGAACCAGCATCACAATTGCGGTCAACAGGCATGTCTGGGGCATCCTTGGGGTGCTCCGTGGGCAACTCGAGCCATCTCGGGACCGCGCTCGGACCTCTTGGAGTTATGAGGTCGTCATGGACAGATTTGAGCCAGGATTCTCGATGTTGAACCTTAATGACGTCTCTTCAGAGGGATGTGGGAGTTTTGTGGGGCGATTCGTCATGCAGGACCGCATCTGCCAGAGGGTGGTTGGAGTCGGGGGGGCAGCGACGAAGTGGTCTGCGCCAGCGGGCCCATGTCAGCAACAGCGTTCTTAGCGCTGGAGAACATCACCCATGTAGTTTATGCCGCTACGGTGCCCGTAGACTTCGGATGTCGAGTGAACGGATTGCATGTATTATTCAGGTGCCGTTACCATTTGCAGCTAAAGTGTGCACGAGGGCATGCGATAGGGAGTTCGTGTCGTTGGCTTGTTCCCTTCGTAGCCGCCCCAAGTTAGTCGCCAATCATTTTCCTCCACCCCCTCCTTAATCTTCCCTGTGGAAGGCATGTCGGAGGCTCGTTGGGGGCCTCGTTGGGGCCTCGTGGGGCTCTCTTGGGGATCCGTCGGGGGCTCCATTGGGGGGGGCTCGGCGCCGTCTTTGGCTCGATGGGTCCACCGTTCTCGAGTGAGTCATCTCGGGGACTTCTGGACGGGTCGTGTGGTCGTCTTCGGGACTTGTGGGGCTGTCGGGCAGCCTTGGTGCCATCTGGGGCCTTTCTTGAGTGTGGGCCGCCTCGAGGGCTTCTTGTGGAGCTCTGAAGCCGTCCTGGGGCGATGTGTATCTGGGCCGTCTTGGGCGAGACTTGAGCACCAAAAATGCGAGGTGGCTGAGCTCGTGGAGCAGCCTTTAGCTTCCCCAAACCAACCTGTGGTGTTGGACCCTCGGTTTAGATGCGCAGCGCCCCGCGTCCTTCACCTCACGCCTCCTGCCCCTCCTCCCTCCTCCTCTTCCTCCTCCTCATCCGCATTCCCCTCTCATCTCTGCCTTGGCCCTCCACACGGTCTATTCTGCACATCCCTGACACGCTTCGTGGCCCTGGAAGGAGTTCCACAGATGGCCCCAGTGGCAGTGACATGTTACTGTTGGCAGTTGGGGTCACCGCAGCCGAATGCGCCCTGAAACGTTCACCGGGATGGTGCTCAGGAAGTGTTTGGGAAACAATGCCGATTTGATCAAGGGTGGAAAAGAAAGCACACCTGCTGGCCTGAGACGAGCACACAGCTGACACGAGGGTTAAGGGCAACCCTGGCTTTGAAGGGTATTCTTCTGTTCGTTGCGCTTGGGCTCCTCACTTTGCTATGTCCTTCGTGTTGAGTATTCGATACAGCTATGGGTCTTCTGCCAGCCGAGGGGCTCGTGCTCCAGACCCACGTTCTCGCGGCCGCGTTCTGGCCGTAGCCAAAAGGGGAGCAGGGGCGAGGA